CCAAAATGAACCTCTGTCTTTTCCAGTTACCTCAGATATTTTACCACAGGGACAGAATGCTGACTAACAGACACAAAGTTCTTCCTGAGAAGTATGACCACATAAGCAATTTTTTCAATGTCAAATTCTCCATTTGTTGATTTTGGTGCCTTTCATTCACATGCAACAAAGTGATTGTCTTGAGTGACAGCTCATGTCTTTGAGAATCTCTGTCAATTGATTCTTTATCATGTTCCTTTCTCTCTGACTGTGTCAGGATTCACTCGGTGGCCTAATCCAGGCCCAGCTGTGCATTTGTCTAGAGCTCCCTTCTCAAGGCAATGGCACAGTTTCTCTCGCTCTCGGAAGTATAGGCGGCTGGGAGTCTCAGTCATGTCGGTTGTTACAATGCGATGTGAACTTACGACCATGATCTTCATCACAGGACCTCTCTACTCTTTGAGTTTTGAGTATGATGTCTCTTTGGTTTTAGAAATAAATTAATTTTGGAAGGTTATCTTATATTTGAAATTGTGTTTTCCAAAAATGATTTGGGCTCTGTTTTCTCTGCTCTGGTATCTTTATTTGCAGATTAAGCTTGATTTTAAAGAATTCCTCAAAAGGTTGTTATGATGGGATTATATTTATCAATTTCTGATGCTCAGATAAAGTCATCAGCTATAAAATGATCTTTTCTATTATTTTATTTACATGTTGTAGAGAGAAATAGACACGTGATTAATCTGTACTCTTGATCATTCATTCCTCTACTTGAAAAAAAATACATAGTTTACTTTGTAAAATGAAGTTTCTTTCCAGAAAAATAAGGATAGATATTACATATACCGCATGATTAGATAGTCTTATTATATTTCATACATATATATTAAAATTACCTATACTCCATCAACTAGAAATAGCCACTCTTGGTTTTTCAGTATACACATAGCTAATTTATTCTCATTTAAGAGTACATCTTGAATTTCTTCAACATAGTTCTCTATATGTATGCTTATTTTATTAAAACAGTAACCTATTAAATTGACAATTTTGTACCTTGATTATCTTTCAGTTTTATCATAAACTTGTTAAATAGTCTGTGATAGAATTTTCATTACTGACATCTTTTATTATATTGCATATTTTTGCCTCTTCCATTATTGCTTCAATCACTTCCAACTTTCTGGATTATCAATAGTTCTTCTATGCACCTTCATAGAAATAAGCCTTCCCATGCATGTATTCCTAATTATGACCCAGGGGTAAGTGAAAAATAGCTCTTCCTAACCTACTCCTGCAGAAGAATTAGCAGGATGTCTCAGGTGTTGCTATGGGAGAATTACTTACCTCTCTTTGCTTTAAAGTATAATAAACAAAATCGGTTTCCTGCTCTTTATCAATTCACAAAATGATTGAACTAGTTTTGTCCATCTTCTCACTTCTGTTTGTGCATGTAAGGAAGGAGAGAGACAAATGGGCGAGACTACTTAGCAAAGTGTTTAAATTCATGGGAAAAATAAAGGCTAATTCTCATCTCTTTTCAAACAAGACCAGCACTGGAAGAAATCTGGAAATGATAGGTGTCCATTATCTCTGAAACTTTCATAAGACAGAAACAAAACAAAGCAATAACAAAACACCGCCACCAACTCCAACAACAGTCCTCTCCTCAGATGTCTCTGTCCTGTAGACAGTCTTCGTGAGCATGCAGCTCCTGTTGCTCTCTTGTGGTTGCTTTGTCTGTGTTCTTTTGATTTTTTTGTTTTTGTTTTTTCCTGTGCTGGGATCAGAGCCCAGGACACTGTGCATGCCAGGCGAGGCTCTGCACCTGTTACCCCGCCTTCATTCTGCTTCTCTGGTGCCCTGGCTGTGGAGATCAGTGCCACCTGTCATCTGGGTCCAAAGAGACCCATGTTCTAACTCCCTCTGGCTGCACTTCTGGGCTCTTCTTCCTCTTCTTCTGTCAGTGCCCTTCAGCCAAACCCCACCAGGAACAGACTTGTACTTGAACCACCTGGGTTTTCTGTGTGCTGCCGTGTGGAGAGGCATTCCAGGCGGTGGGTGGGTGGGGGAGTCTGTGTAGAGGAGCATTAGAAAGATGATCGCATTTAGGCTGGGGTTATGTCCATTGAGGGAGCATTTAAGAAAGCTTGGATTCGCAGTAGTACACTTGCTCTCTGGAGGCAGGGGTATTTCATGCTTCTGTGCGATGATGGGATATTCATGGCTCCACTCAGAAGGAGCCTCAGCTGTTGCAGTTTGCTTGAGACTGAGTGACTTCTGAAGACATACTGCTTCTGGGTCCTAAGCCACGACATGTTCTTCACAAGGCAAGAGAAATCAGAGTCCAAGGCTCCACCAGTCATGGTGACAGCAGCTGCCTGCTGCTGCTCTGTGGCAGTGTGGGTGCAGTGCCAGGCTGGCTCGGGGAGCCCAGGCCACCTTCCTGACAGCCAGGCGCTGGCTCTGGGGCTGCCTTCCCCTGTACACTTCTCCACAAGTCTCCCCTTTGGGGGCTTGGGAGACACTTTTGGGTGAGGCGAAGACTTTATAGGTGCCAGCTTCTCTTTGTGATTCTTGACTTTAGCCATCCTGCTTCCCGGCCCTAAGGACACGTTTGGCTTTGAGACATTGAGTAATAAAACAGTGTCCATCACTAGCTGCATGTTTTTTCAGTAGTGAACAATATTTTAACACTTGACACAAAATGTTAAATCATTTAATGTTAAAATATCAGCAAGATACGCTACCCTTCTTTGAGATTCAAAATTCACACTAGTATATTGCAGTGCTCTTGGATATAATACTATAAAGAAATCCAAGTTATTCGATAGAGAAAATATATTTTCATAGCACACATTCATATTTTGATGAAGACTAGTATTTCATTATTTAACTAACACTTTTACTGTTAAACGAATATTAAACTAATATTTCATAGGCATACCGGTTTGTCTCATAGTGATTCTTATAAAACTTAAAAGTATATGTAAAATGTAAAAATAATTCTTAAGCAAAATTTTCTGATTTAGGAAGGGAATCTGGGGATGGAAAAGATGGGAGGGTGGCAAGGGGAAGGGAAGGGAAAATGATCAAGAGGAGATAATGCATAAGATCCTAATAAGATTACTGACATTTAGAAATGGGAAGAAAGGAGCTAAAGGTGTAGGGAAGGTGGGATGGGTAGGGGAAGGGTAATAAGGGAAAAGAAAAAAATGTGAGATAATGAAAAGATGGAAATAAAGTGTTTGTATATGGGGAGGGGAGAGGGGGTGAAGGGAGTGCAGAGGTAAGGGGAAAAAATGAGAATCAAGACCTGTCATGTAGAGGTACAAGATCCCAACAATGAATGTAACTATACTGTATCCCTAAAATGTACCAATAAATTCAATTAAAGCTGAAAAAATGAGATAATGCATGTATATCAACCCTCTGAGGCAAATTCAAACATACACTAACAAAAATGAAAACTAAAAATAGGATAATGTTCCTTTGTAACTATCATAGAAAAGAAACAGTCTAATGTGCTACAGGTTTATTATTCCAATATTAAGAGAGAATATACAAATTCTATCTCCTTCCCAAAATTTATCCTCCATTTTGCTTCCTATTTACCCTTTGGGTTTCCCACATAAGAGAAACAAGGCAATATTTAAATTTGTGTGTCTGACTGATTTCACCTGAAATTATGGTTTCAATGTACATTCATTTACCTAAAAATGTTTCAGGATTATCCTTTCTATATCTGAGTAGTGCTCCATCATATATAAATGCCACAGTATTCTGTATCCATTCATCTATTAATGGGCATCCAGGCTGTTTCCAATGCAAATAGTCAATAGATTTAGTTGTTATAAACTGTGCAGCTATAAACATGCATATCACTGAATTACAATACTGGTAATTAAGGAATAAAATGGAGGACAGATATTGGGATGTAGGAAGAACTTGGTCAAATAGGAAGTGGAACAAGGAATTAGGAAGAGGAAGGGAAAAAGGGATTAACAAAAAAGACTGTAAGGAAAAAATGGAAATAAAACTTTTATAAATGACGAGGGGAAGAGGAGTTGAAGGACAGGGAGGAGAATATGAAAAATAAATTAATCTTTGGCAGGTTGAAATCCAGTTTTTCCAACTCCAGTTATTAAAGACGCTATCTTGCCTCCACTGTGGATGGTTGGCTCCTTTGTCAAAGATGAGGTAGCTGAGTACATCTTCAGTTGTTTCTGTATCTTCCAATCTATTCCACTGATCCTTGGGTCTGTTTCTTCACCAGTATCATGCTGTTTTTGTCAGCGTGGCTTTGTAGTATAGTTTCAAATTGGGAATTGTTATATCCGCTGCCATGTCTCTGTTGCCTAGGATGGCTTTTGCTATTCTAGGTTCTTGTGGTTCCAAATGAATTTTTGGATTAGTTCTTTCTAGTTCTGTGAAAGATACTGTTGCCATTTCAATCAACATTGCACTGAATCTGTATAGCAGTTTTGGTAGTATGGTCATTTTCACTATTTTGATTCTTCCTACCCAGGAGCAGGAGATATCTTTCCATTTTCTTATATCCTCTACAAGTTCCCAATGATTAATATAACTGTACTGTATTTCTAAAGTGTACCAATAAAATCAATGAGGGGAGAAAAACAAATTAAGATATATTATGTACAGGTACAAATTCCCCATGATGGTGTATAATTATTATGTATGTCAAATATGTTCTAATACAAAAAAATTTTTAAAGAGAAAATATAAATGGTGATTGCAATTATCCTAAAGTTCTTAATAATATATGAATACTAGATGATGAATAGATGATATAATAGTTGCTATAGTTTAATCATAAAGGTTATAATCTAACTAAATTAAGAAACAGCATTTTAACGATTAATGTATGTTTAAGTAGTACAGCTATCCTCAGGCCTGTGCAGTCGTCCATCTCTTTTATAAAACCTATTGGTCAGCACTTAGTATTTGTAATAGTGCAGGAAATAATATAGTGTAATCTGCAATCCCCAAATGTTCTCTAGATTCTGAAGCCTACCTTGAAGTTGCTGTTCCAACAGACCACAGAGTGAACAATCCTGAGGAAAGGAGAGACAGAAACAAAGCTGAAGACTCTTTGGGAACCTCCAGAGGTGCCTCATCCCTGGCCATGGTGCTGCCTGCCGAAGTCCCTTGTGAGGTCAGCAACACTGTATTGCTATATAAGTGGCCCTGTTGTTCACTTAGTAGATGCAACATTTCACTAGAATGTCAGCTGTAATTTTACAGCTGGCCTCTTGGTCCACTTTGTTCAGGCTATGTTGCTGTAAACTACAAGAATATCTGGCAATTAGCTGGCATTTCATAAATATTTATTGTCCGGTTGGATATTGGAGAATATACAAAAGCTTAATTTTTTCAAGTGTTATATAACATTTTGCAAACAGATATATAATTGCTATCTATACAGATCTGGGTACTTAAAAGAAAGTTGGATTCATAGTAAACAGACTAAAGTATTTTACTTTCCTAAAGAGAACTAGATCCTTGAATAGAATTTAATAATTTTTATTTTTTGTTCAACCAGTTTCTCAATTATGCATGTAGATATCCCCACAAAGCCTCATAGATGGCACTTTTCAGAGCTGCCTGGATCTAGGGTGTGTGATACTGGGATTAAGGTGTGTGATACTAAATCAGTCCACTGATTGGAATTAGCATAATTCTCAGTATGGATAATGGGAAGCACACCTTGGATAGGGGTGGCACTAATCAATAGGCTTCTAGCCTGAGTGGAATATAAAGGGACAGAAAGAAGTCAGTCTTAATGCTTGCTGCTTACTGCCTTCTGCCTACCCTGCTATGGACTGTTTCTTCTCTGCGATGCCCCTCTGCCCTGCTACCCTGCCGTGGAGCCTGCCAACTATGGACTAAAACATCTACAAACAAGAAACTGAAATAAACCTTTCCTCCTTTAACTTTAGGTGCCAGATATTTTGTCTCAGCAACGAGAAAATTAATTGGCATTATTAAGTGGAAATATAAGATCCATGAGAGCTGATCTTTCAGGGAAGAGTCATATAAGATTGGGGAAAGATTTCTAAGACAACTTATGGTAACATACTCTGGACAGATCTTCCTGCTAAATCTCCCTGAGAATGAGCCACCAAAATGATCCCTGGGTGGACTTTGGCCTGGCTCTCTGGTGAGATGATCTGACAACCAAAAGATGGGGCCTTGATGTCTATAGTGGCCTTGAGCAGAAAAAGCCAAAGATGCAGAAGGACCATTCAGCGTCCTATTGGTGGCAGCCAGAGAATCCGCATTCCCTGATGGCTGGGGCTTACTGATGGCTTCTGGTGGTTCCCTTAACCCTGTGATGGGGGGAAGCTCGGCATTCTGCAAGGCTGGGCAAGCTTGATTCTCTGCCTTCCCCCAAAACATATGCCTACGCAGGAGAAGCACTATACTGAGCTACCATGCCATCCATTCAGATGAAGGCAAAATGCTTCAACACTACCTTGGCAGCCTCGGGACTCACGGTTGCAGGTTTGTGGGAGCTGACAAATGATCAGGCAAAGAAAATCACAGCATGTTTAAGACACAGGAGTTTGTGGAGGGAGCTTACCTGCACATCCCAAGCTGAGTACTCCCACTGAGTTGGAAATAATGGGAGATATAAGAAGTGTAACAAAAAGAGAAATGTGAGCTGCTCCCAAATAGATGACATTATTAAGTGGAAATCAAAGAAAAGAAAAAAAATCTGAAGAAAAAATAGCTCACTAGAGTTATACAGGGAGTCTCAGTAGGTGCTTTAAAACATATCTGCAACAATAAAATGTGTGCGCTGTAAAATCCACTCTGTTATTAAATTTGCAAAGAAATCAAGTTCCAAAATCAAGTGTCACTTCCTCTAGGAGAGGTTATGCTCTGCAGGTGGCCAGTTAGGGTAGAGGTTCTTTCAGTAGCTCAACCGTAGACCTTTTTCTACTGATGTGGATGAAATTCTTTCAGATTCTCTGAGGATAAATTATTTCAATATCACCTCTCTCTTGGGTAGCTCACTCTAAAATATTCTAAGAGTTACAAGGATATATAAGATCATTTTAATACCAGTCCCATTCCTTACAAGTTCAAAATAAGCTAATCCTTCAGACCAAAAGCAGTTATCCCAGCACAGCCTTGCATACTCCATACGTAGTTCTAAGTACAATCCAAGTCCCTGTGATGGTTGCCAGGCACCACAGAAAAGAACATTTGCATCCAGCTGAGCAAAAATCCTGTTCCAATTTTACACTGGTAAAGTACAGTGTCTGCCAGTTGTCCAAAAGCACACTTTGATCTTCAGGTCACTTCTGAGGAGTCTTCCAATTATAGGGAGACAGAGGCCCTGTACTTGAGAAGGGACAGTTTAAGCTTCCCTGACCCCCTAAGTGATCCAGAACTGTACAGTGCTATTTCTGCCCAGGGCCTGGGCTGTTCTGGAATGGGCTTGCTTTGCACCTGGCATCTTCACAGCCTGTTCTTTCCCCGCTTGGTCCTTCTGTCTCCAGCATGAGTTGGGACGTAATGTTCTCTGGGCGTGGGCGTTAGGCAGGGTCCCTCCTGCACTGCCTCTGCTGTGGAATTGTGGGTCTGTGGACCTCCCTCCCCATCCCTGCGTTGGTTGGTCACTAACCCAGGCAGTGGGTGATGCTCTTGCTGAACGTGGGCAGCATGGAGCCTCAGGTTAGCACCGAGCATTGTCCTGGCCACAGCCTCTGTCCTGGGTATCACAGAACCAGGGCTTCTGCCCAGTAGATGCAGCAATGGTCACCCAGCTGGGACAACTGCAAATGCCAACGGGGGTCACCCTAGTCCCCCTCAGAGAAGGAGGGAAAATCCACCCCCCCCAGACTTGGGAACCATGCAGGAGTGGCACAGAAGGGCGTCACCGTCAGACCTGCCGCTCCCAGCCATCAGTGTTCTGTGCCCCTCCAGGGCTTCTCTGCAAGCCACCCTGCTGTCCGATAGTCACTCACTGGAGCTGGCTAATCCTCAAGGGCTGCTTCCAGTCGCTCCTTTTTATTTTTCTTTGTAGTATTGTTATTGCTGTACTGGGGAATGAACCTAAGGCCTTCACCCGGAATGACACTCCCAGCCCTTTTTCATATTTTGAGACAAGATCTCACTGAGTTGCCAATTTACCAAGCTGGGCTGGAATTTGCAACCCTCCTGCCTCAGCCTGCCACCATTCCAGGATGTGGGATGTGTACCTCCCTGCTTGGCTCTGTCACTCCCTTTATAATTTTTACCCACAGCTTTAGAGGGGTCCTTCAAATGTGTGCCCCATGGGAGCCCCTCCCAACAGGCCAGAGTCTGTCTCTATAGCTTCACCTCTCCAGTCTCTGTGAGTCTCTTCCCCTCCTGTCTCCCTTTCCTTTTGGAAGAACCTGCCTGCTGCAGTCTCAGCTCTTCTGCCCCCAAATCTCTCCCTTCCTTCAGTACAATCAAGGCATAGTCCTTTCTTCTTCCTGTTATCCTCTCACTGAAACTCCCCCATGTCCTGAAGATGAGACTATAAAGCCAGATCACACATTGACTTCTTGAACAAATTCAGTTCTTAAAGACACAGCGCAACCCCAAAGACCACTGTAGTGCCTTTATCAGCATTCGATCTGTATTAATGGCATTCAGTAGTTTCCTATCTGAATCGCGGAACACGGCAACTCCTCTAATGAGGGCTACATTTTGTGACCTGCTCACTCACACACCTGTGTGTCTGAAGGGACCCTGAGTCTTCATCCCCACAGATCTGCAGACTTTGGAATCAGCAAATCTAGAGACCTCCAGATGTCAGGGAAGACATGCCCCTTGGGCACCTCAGAATCTGCCTCACCGATTACCTCTTACCAGTGGCCCCCAATTCGATTTGAAACAGTACACAAGAGCTACCAGCACTGCCCATCACTTCTGGCCCTAAATCAAGAGTCAGTCCTTCGTGACCAACCTTACCTTAAAGCTTCATCTGTGGTTTAATTTTCAAAGCTCAATCATCAGAGTAAAAGATGACTGTACACAGGCATCGAGGCCTGAGATGTTGATTCTGTGAAGGGCCGCCCTTCTGGAGCTGAGACGTACAGGGTGCAAAAGACACCTTTTTCCTACAAAAGACTGATTTGCTCTCAGATTACCAGGGGACCATTAAAGGCTACACAGAGAATTTTTTAAAAATGTTTTTCTTACCTTCAGAGGTCTAGACATAAATGATCTGTTACGTGGGGAACATAGAGTTTTCAAAGCTTTCCAAGTGACTGTCAAAGTGAGAATTAGCAGCCAAACTAGGAGCCATTGTCACAAGCAAATTCCTGCTCTGCTGTCCTGGGCCACTCCGATGCCCACCAGGGACCTGCACGGCCCTGGCCCCACGACCAGGATGTGATGCATGGAAGGAGCCACTGGTCACCACCATAGCCCATGACAAGTTCTTGAGGTCGCGGGGATTGAAGTCTCCTCCCATCTGTGCTTACAGAATCATTTAAGCTGAAGACACCTGCACCGGCAGGACCACACTTCACGGCTGACCTGTTCCATTGTGCACCAGCTTTCAGCTCTGTTCTTTAGGCTTCCAGACTTGTGACCAGTGCAGGAAAACATTAGAGTTTGGAAGTTACCATTGCCATAACCCACTCTCTCTGATTTCTCAGGCCCAAATGAGGGACACACAGAGGCTGAGAGTCGGACAGCAGCCTCATGGCTGACAAAACTCCAGCATCTCGGTACTTTCGCCAGTGAGTTGAATTCGCCCACAGGACCGTGGCAGGGCTTCCCTCTGAGCAGGCTGCTGACTGTGGGTGTAGCACGAAGCAGACGAAGCAGACCATGTTCCATGTGAAAATATCATGTTTAAAATACATAGACACAGAATGTCTCTTAGGTGTGTAACTTGTACAAGATGCCACGAGGCAGTGAGAACATAAAAACTCCCTTGTGGTGTGCAAGATCTAGCTGGGAAGCCAAGACAACAGACGTGAGGAACTAGAAAAGTAGAGGGCGTGACCAAGCTGGACTCCACTACGGGGTATGGGTGTGCACTGCACAAGAATCCCCTCAGAATTCCGAACTCCTGGGGGTAGAGGTTCCCGGAGGGTTTGGTAGAGGTAGTGAAACCTGAGTTGGAGCCTCCATGGATAGTGGAAGTCTGGGGAGAGAACAGGAAAAGCGGATAAATAGGACAATGTCATGGACACACAGGCCAGCTCTCTAATTTGCAGTGCAGAATGAAAACTCAAGGCCCTTTGTTCAAGTTATTAAGCATTACAAGGCAGTGATGAGCAAGCCTTAAGCCAAGAACAGGGTCCTTGTGTGAGGGCACAGGTCACAGCCCAAGAAGCCGGCCCTGGGTGCACATGAAGAGGCATGTGCCTCATTCCCACTGGTTAGGATGCTTGTCTCTTGTTTAGAATTTTTCTCTGGAAATAGTTGAAAGGCAGCACCCTGCCCTCTACTAAAGGAACCAATCTGATGCCTAAGAAGTAGCTGGTGCAGGCTCTCAGGAACAAGAGCGAGTCGGCAACATGAGTAAAGCATTTGCAGAGCACAGCCACTGGCCAGCTTCGGAAAGAGCAGAGTCAGAGTCAAGCCTGGAGTGGTCCGTGAGTGGAAAAGAACTGGGAAGAGGATCTGGAGGAAAGAGCCAAAGCGAGTGGGACGGAAGAGTCAAGGTAGGGTGACAGACGAGAAGGACCAAAGGCACCAAAGACCCCGGGAAGGGCAGGCTCCCCAACTTCCACAGGTTGCCATGGAGGACGAGGATGACGGGGATCCAGGGAACTCTTTGAAGATTGGGTGTTTTCTCTATATGCAGTTTAGTGGGGTGAGGGGGATTTAGTTCAAAAATAGCCTATGGGCAAATATTGGGGAGCATGACTCTTGCAAAAAATGCCTGGAGTAGATGGGTGGATCAACTGGAATTATTTGGTACCACTGACATCTTATTTGTGCAGTCTCTTGGGTACAAGCATTAAAATGAAAGTTTTATTGATTTGTGAGTTATGCTTAGGGAGATTACCAAGTAAGAGCGTTCTGAAATGATCGATTTTGATAAATGTGATGTTATGAGTGGATATAGATGGAGTTCCTGTTTATTTGTTGTGAGGCTGAAATTCAGTAGGACTTTGAAGAAAGCCTTTGAAAGTGATACCTCAGATAAGGAAAAAGAAGAATATTTCCTTTTTCTAAAAGGGATAGCATGACATAAAGAGCAGCATGGATTTAGAAGCGAATGGTTCTGATTATCTCCGGGATGTAATTAAAAGTGATCATTGCTCCGCTGCAAAAAGAAAAGAAGTAAACATGTTGCCCATGTTTGTTTTGGGGTGAGTATGTTTCCCACTCTGAGATGTACAGCAGCCAAAAGACATATTTTTCCTATGACAAATTGATTTGTTCTCAAATTACTAGGGGGCCATTACACAGAGAAATTTTAAAAAACCTGTTTTTCCTACCTTCAGAGGTCTAGAAATAAATAATCTGTTATAAGGTGGAGATAGAGTTTTTAAAGCTTTCCCAGTGACTGTGAAAATGAAAATTAACAGCCAAACTAGGAGCCATTGTCACAAGCAAATTCCTGCTCTCCTGACCCGGGACAATCCGATGCCCACCAGGGACTTGCACGGCCCTGGCCCCGTGACCAGGATGTGACACATGGAAGGAGCCGCTGATCACAGCCATAGCCCATGACAAGCTCCTGAGGTCGTGGGGATTGAAGTCTCCTCCCATCTGTGCTTACAGAATCATTTAAGCTGAAGACACCTGCGCAGGCAGGACCACACTTCACGGCCGACCTGTTTCATCGTGCATTGTTCTATTGTGTGTGTATCCCAAGGTGGAAGGAAAAATCTGTGTGTAGAAAGTGCTTACTATAATTCCTAGTGTAGTACAGGCACCCAACAAATGTTTCTTCTTCTCTTTTCTCTGCAGCAACTCTATTCATTTCTAGTCTCTGCCCCAAAAGAGTTCTTCAAAAACACATTGACTTATGTTTACAAATTCAGCTTTTCCCACTTAATTAAATCTTGAATCTTGTGGATTTGTAAGCTTTGGTCATTTCAAAAACCTTCAGATTTACTCATAAAAAACAAACAGCAACCAGAGAGTTTCTACTACACCAAAACCATGGGACATTTAAAGATGGTATTATGCTTGAATGGTAAGAGGTCTTAGCATCTCATGGACAGAGAAGAAACTCAAGCTCAAGACAGCTGGAGGGGAAGACTTCATGAGTAGTTGCGTTCTAGGCCTCTGCTGGGATGCTGGGAAATGCCACAGGGCCAGGAGCAGGGAGAGGTGAGAGGAAAAAGGGTTCTCAATTCTCACTACCTGTTCCCTGCCAAATATGGTGTTGGGGGGAAACACTCCATAAACCCCAGATTGACACTTTTTTTTTTTGGTACTGGGGATTGAATTCAGATCCTTTTGCTTACAAGGCAGGCATCAGAACCACTGAGCAAAATCCCCAGCCCTTGGTACATTTAAAATATAGCAAGAATCACATTTGCATATTTCATTTCTGAATATGACTGCAGACATAACAGGGTAAAGGACCTCAGTGATAGCATATGACCTTTATAATTCATAGATGTAATGGGTTCTTTGGTTAAGGCAAACTGTTTCAAGTGCTCAGTTGGGTTCCGTCTTCACTTTACAGAATCCTGGTGAGATATTCATTTTTCTGAAAGATGAAGTAGTTGGTGAATCGGTGGAGGTTGAGTTTGCATCAGATGCTAAGTGCATTCGAGCACGGCCAGCCCTTTGGGATAAGAACATCTGGCATATGAAAGCCCTAGGTAAGAATTTTATGCTTTAGTAAGTATAAAACATCATCCTAAGTTCCTTTCATTAAATTTATAATAAATGGTTTCACTTCCCTACAGAAACTAGCCCTGTCCTGCAGGTGCTTCCTGCGTTGAGCTTTCACACACCCAAGGTTGTTATTATTAATCTGGACTTGTGAGAGTGAGAATGTGTAAATTATGAGAAGTCAAGTTCTGGACCATGTAGTGAAATGACAGCCAGCATCACAGTGTCTTTAAACATGTCCCCAGAGAGCACTTCAAGACATGTCAGCTGTTACATATGGAACTAAAATGAGGGCCTTTATTGCAGCAGTAGGATTAGCAGATTCTAGGATTTTATTAATAAGCTTTGTGTCCCCTTCCCTGGCAAAGCCTCAGAATACATTTTTGGAAAACATCATCTTCACCATTGTGTAATCATGGTACCATCTCTGCAGATAATCTTTCCATCATTCCTTGACCTCATTTGAAAAGGGGTCACTTGGTGACCTAGCCCTGCTCACTACATGATAAATTCTATTAGATGTAAAATTCCAGATGGAGTAGCCATGTGCACCACCGCGGTAATTGTATTAAAATCAAAATATTATAAATTAGTCTCTGAGTGTTTTGATATAACTGCAAGAATGCTTGTTTTATTATAGCCTTTTATAATGAGATAATAAAATTATCTTATAAGAATTTCATAAATATGAACCTCACAAAACATCTTGAAATGCAAAGGTGCTTGGTATTATCACAAACTTGAAAATGGGGTAAAAATATTTAAAATTGGGGATTTAGCCCAGTGGCACATCTGCCTTGCAAATGGTCCTGAGTTCAATCCCCAGCACACAGAAAGGAAACAATTTTTGAAGTTGAAGAACATCAAGCACACATCCTGTCACCACCAGCCCCTTTAGAATGTAGCTATTATGCAATCTAAGTACAGGATGTTCCTCAACCTGTGTCTGCTATGCAAAGAGCCTGTCCCTGGGTACTTCTCCTTGCACAGCTTAGCCTGGAGCAGCACTACAAGAAGGAAAGGCTCTGTCCTCAGACTTTAGAAAGCTTCAGACCCTACCTTCTGCTATGGTCAAGCACGTGCAGGGGTGAAATGGGAGAGAACACTGTCACGTTCCTCTTCCTTGTTTCCTGTCACAAAGCCCCCTAATGAGTGTGTGAAAAAAATGCTCAACGTGACCAATCATCCAAGAAGTGTAATCAAAATCACAGTGAGGTGTCATCTCACCCCAGTCAGATGGGCCACTCTCAAAAGACAAAATTGAAGAATGTTGGCGAGGATGTAGCAGAGGAAACTTCTACCCAACTCTTGGGAAGGCAACTCATGCAGTTGCGATGGGAAACACTCTAGCTCCTCACAGGACAGAAGAATCACAACCGAGCCCCAACAGAGTCTTGAAACTGGGCTCTACCATCATCCACAGTAAAAGAAAAACGAGAAACATGAACAACAAATTTATTTACAACCTAGGCAAATTGGGAGGGCAGCTTGTCCTCTCGCCTCAAACCCACAGAAGAGATCCAACACATAGATGGGACAGAGCCCACACTGGGCATTGGGCACGCACAGGAGTCAGGGGTGCCTGTGACCTCAGTGGGTGAAAGTCTAATAGCGTCCGAACTCTCAGCATCAGGGCTGGGGTGGCAGGTTCCCTTCCAGCAGGAGACAACTCTATGAATCCGGATATGGGGCTCAGCTCTAATACCCTAATTCTAAGAGGGTCTGTTCAGGATGATCAGGTGATGCAGCCGCACCAAAGGAAGCAGTCGCTGTGTCCAGGAGACCTGTGCACCCTGTGTTACTGCAGTACTGTGCACGGCTGAGAAGTATGGGGAATCTGGCCAGGCGTTCATCAGAGGATGAATAACAAAGACAAAAGGTGCTCATATATGTATGTATGTGTTTGCCTGTGTGTACCTAATACTCCGTGTAATACCACGGAATGATTATGCAACCCTAAAAGGGTCAAATCCTGTCATTTGAGGCACTAAGGAAAAGGCATTATGTTAATCAGCCAGGCACAGGAAATGAAAGCCACTTGTCCCTACTCCTCTGTAGAAGCTAAAGAAGTCAGTCACACAGAAGGAAAGAGTGAGGTAAGGGAGGGCTGGAGGCCAGGAAGGGGAAGAGCAGGCAATAAAAGCTGGATTGGGGGTACAAGGGTCAGTGAGACCAGGAGGAGCCATTCTTGTGTTCCTCAGCTCTACAGCGATGAACTACGCATTTCAAAATACCTAGAGGAGAAGCATTTCTCACAGAAATGATAAACTCTTCATAGAAATGCTGGCTACCCTAATTTGATCACAACACATTGTATACATGCATCAAATTGCAATGCTGAGCTGAATAAATAAGTATAAATATTGTATCCATTTAAATTTTATAAATAAAAAGTGAAATATGAAATGAGTGTCAAAATTCAAATTTTTTAGCAGGAAACTAATATTCCCTGTCTCCCAAGACATGTTCATGTGGTTAAATAACAAATTTTTAGTTAAAAAAATAATAAACCACTATTTACCAGCTATACTAGTTAAACTTCTACAAGTCATTCTTCTAGCTGTTGTGTTGTGTAAATTAATGAGACATTGTCTTCCAAAATCTTGGTTTCTACACAGCAATGTAAGAGATAGGTTCAGGAACCCGGGTGAGAATATGGATGGAAAATGCCCTGGTAGAAATGGCATTTGACTGTCACTTTTGCCAGCTTATGGCACTAGAGTTTGAAATGTTTTGAACCTTCCACAGCAAGTACTGCATTTTCGGTCATAACTCAGGCATCCACAACTATATGATGAAAGCAAGGGTTTAAAAGCAATACTAGACTAATGATTTCAGTGTTATCAGGCGAAGAGCTTTAAGGTTGGCACTCCCATTCTTAGAAGAAAAAGCTGAACCAATTAAAAAATGGCTACTCTTTTTGAATACGTAGAGAAGGGAGGTTGCAGTGTGTAGGGGTGGAAATCACCATCTCTCCTCACCCATCATAAGGGCCACAGCCTATACCTTGATAGCCAAATACAGGATAATGGGGAAAGAAGCGAGCAAGCTTATTTCATCCAAGTTTTTACCACCCAGGAATCTTCAACTAGAAGACCCAAAGACTCAAAGAAAGTAATTTTCATTCTTATGCTTAGTGAAGAATGGACAGTGTATAAAACTATGACTGGATCAAGGGATGACCCCGTGACTGTAGCCTGAGGAAGGCCTTTCTGTGCAGCACTCTCTCCTCCCAGGAATGACGAAGAACCCTGGAGTGAGGACCCAGAGAGGAGGGCAGACTGGCCTCTCCAGGCTCTGTGGTTCAGGGTTTCCAGTTGCTCGATCCACTCAATGGAGGGAATTAGGGGAGGAAATGGTAGGACGGGAAAGGGTCACAATGACTCGGTTCTGGGCCCTTCAAACCTCCTTCAGCTCAAAGTAGTCAGCATGCAAAGGCTTTGCCTTTGGGGTTATTGACACCTGAACTTCAGCAAGAGCAAATCACTGTGCAAAAATCTGGACAGCAAAGTAAAATACAAGAGTCACTGAGCTCATCTTTCCTGGAGTAGAAGCCACTGGAGCCTTAATCTGGTAGAAGCAATTAATTTTGCTAAATTGCTGGAAGCTATGAGTGGATTAATTTCACAGTCAGAAACCCCTAAGGCGACAGCACTTTAGGAGCCCCTCACTTGATCAGGACTTACCTCCAGGAACCCCACTTGATTCATGTCATGAAAGTGGGACAAGAGACCCTCACAGGATGGCTGCGTCAGAGGAGGAGCAATCACAGTGAAATCCTCCCAGCAAATTCTACAAACGAAAACCAAGGGAAACACTTGCCAAGAGCTCTGCCCAACCAGGGAAGTCTCCACCCACAGCTGCCTTCTGTCCCGCTCAAGGGGGAGGCTGGAAGCTATGCCACCAGCAGAGACACTTGTGGTGTCACAGCCAAGAGATACATAAGACTGATGCCTCCCATCCCCATGACCCCTGTCCCACTGCAGTGACGAAGGACTACAGCTTGAAGAGCTTCAAAACTCAGGAGTGCTGTGAACAGTATAGATGCCAGAGGGACATAAGGCCAGGACAACAGCGGAATGGGGAGCCTGCGGCACATGCAGTGGCAGAAAACACTGAACACAGCACAGCTCCAAGTCAGATTATTACACATTTGTTCACAGCAAGGCTGTTTACTTCAGTTCTTCTTGCCTGATACATGTCTGGCTTTCAAGCAAAAATCACAAGGTATACAAAAGAAAAAAATCCACCAAAATAAAACAATGTAAAAGAAACAAAGCAAGGGCAAGGATGTTTTCAGACTTAGGTGTAGTACAGATGTTGAAATTATCAGACAAGGAATTTCCAATAAATCTAATTAATGTGTTAAAGATACTCATGCAAAAAAAAAGTCAATGTCGTGCAAGAACATATGGGTAGTGTAAACAGATAGAAATTCTGAGGAAGAAATCAAGAGGAGTTCCAGAGATCTAAAAACACTGCATTGGCAATCAATGGTCACTTGAAAGGCTCATTCACAGACTGGACGTGAGTGCGAAAAGAGCCACTGAACACAAAGATAGATCAATGAGAATTTCCCAAATTTAAGGCAAAAAGAAAAAAGAATTAAAAAATAGAATTGAATATCAAAGACATATGCAACAATTTTAAAAAGACATAATATGCATGTATTTGGAATATAAAAAGAATGAAAAAAGCACAAGAAATACACAGATACTCATGACCATATTAGGGTTCTCTAGGGGAACAGAATCAACAGAAAATAGGTGTCTAATTATGCAAGGGGATTTATTAGACAGGCTCACAGGGCCAGAGGCGAAGAGTTCTCCCTTGCTGTCTGCAGGATCAGAGCAGAACAATCCATGGCTGTCCCCACCCTGGAGAGCCAAAGGCCCCATCACTGCTCATCCCTGGAGAGCTGGAAGCTTAAGAACAGGAGGGACCCAGGGCTGTGGGCCTCGAAGCTCCCTGAAGAGCCACCAGGGTGAGTCTGCGTTTAAAAGCCAGGAAGAACTGGGACCTAAAGACCAATGAGCAAAGGCAACTGCAGCAAAGGAGGCGCTCACTCAGGAAGACTGGAGGTCCTCACAAATGGGTGAACTCCCTTCCTCTTTCCTCTTTGTATTCCATCTGGGCTACAGGCCTATTGGTTGGTGCCACCCATGCCCAGGCTGGGGCTTCCCCCACCCCTGGGTTTGAGGCCTACCTGTCAATCATCCACAGACACACCCAGAGCTCTACCAATCTGCTAGTGGTTCTTACTTGTGCCAAGTTCACACATCACAGTTACAGAATCACACTGATCATGATGCAAGCTCACATCCACGAGGACTTTGGGCTAAGGCAACTGGAAGTTATATCTAACCCTGTAAAAGCACATCAGGAGGCTCTGAGCTAGAAACATCAACTAATTCTATGCAGAAGGAAGAGGGTAGTCATGTAGCACAACCAGACAAACCTAACACAACAGGGGACAGCTCGTTAAAAGCTGAAAGGAATGCATAATACACCCTCGAAAATAGTGTCTCTGTATTAATTAAGAAACTCTGGTCTAGATAATTCATGCTTTAAAAATGAACGTGAAAAAGACTTTGTGTCAAATGTTATCCCAAACTTCCTTCCGGAAAAAAATAGATTTTTATGACCAATTTATGTTTCTAGATATCATAATTCAAGAAAACCATTTTGATATATTTTAAATTGAGGTTAATTTTTAGGCATGACCAAGGTTCTGAAGCCACCTATTTTTATTCATGATGCTCTGATCCACAGAGGCCACATTGGTATCTGATCTCACTCCTCCATTCATTCAGTGTCTGCCACGTTAAAATTCCTTCGTAAAGGAATGCAGCTTCTCATGCAACAGGAATACACAAGCAAAAGCGCTCTGAGATTGGCAGATGTGTGAAATGTCTACTTTTATGGAAGTAGTGAAATATTTTTGCTATTCCGTACTGTCCTTGGATTCTGTTTTCCATAAACCACTTCATTAAGGGGAAGACAAGTTAAATGGAAAACCGAAACGTTGACAAGGCTTATGTGGGCCAGAATTTACTACACAAATAGCATTAATGATCGAGAAAAGCATGCTGATTTCTTTACCATGTTTATCCTGGACATGAAAATCTTACAATGATAATCTCTTAAAAAGACAAAGACTTCATCCATAAAGAAGGAGAAGCTTGAGTCATTGGAAGAAAACGGCTGCACCTCAAGATCATTATGTTGAGTGAAATAAATCAGACACACAAGCTTAAATCATAGTTTCTCTCATATGAGAAACCCAAATTAGAAATAGCAAAATAAAAGGTAACAGGAAGTTGTGAGATGGGCCTTTTCAAATGGGAAGAGGTAAGAGATGGAGGTAGGAAGAGGGGGGTAAGGGGCTGAGAAAAGGAACTGACACGTGCTGTGTACACAAGCCAACTCCACGAAAGTGGCATAAACATTGGGCGCTCAAACACAGACTAATAAAAACTTTTTAAAGGATAAATTCACTGGTGTGGTGTGGAGTTTGAGATTTGAACTTCAAGTGGGGCTCCTTTATCATTGCATCGCTGTAGTGTCTGTAGGATTTTATGTCAAGTTGCTTCAGGATTTCCCTCCACTCTACACCTTTCCTCCTCACCGCTGACTCTCACGCTCTTGCTTGGTTTGCTGGCCTTGCCCTGTATTGTGTGGGCTTCCTTTATTACATGTTACTGCCTACCTAAGGCTGATGGTGAACAGCAGAATTTACTTTGGATATATCCCATTTGCATCTTTAAATTGGCTGGTCTCTATTTTTATTGAAAAGCTGCAAAATGTACTCTCTGTAGCAAGCCCATGTTAAGGTATTATTGTGTTAAAGTATTATTGTGCTCATGACCATGTACAACAGGCCAATTCGATTTCTATCACTAAGGAGGTGTTTGGATCAGACTACTCCATGAGCAAGTCTCTCTTACACGCAGGTCTAACAGTAACTAGGTCTGGATTAATTACTTCTACTCGGCAGATAGGAAAACACTTAACAGCAATATGACAATTCTAGGGGCAGCTCTTCAGTGGGTTACTCCAAAAACAACGTCATTCTCAGTAGATCCCCTGGGAGAGTTTTGAGTTCACATACCAGAATTAAATTACGTTAGACTGGAAAGAGGTTAAAATGTTTTAAGTATGCTATATCAAAGAAGAGTCAAGCAATCCTTTTCCACGTGTGTCTCTCAAGATTCATTTCCTTACTCCCTTCAGGTTATGTTCCTCATAAAATGAGGAACTAATTTTTCCCCCAAAACCAAATTCAAAATCTTCTATCAAAATCATCCTATAACTGGCTGCAATAAAATGGAAATTTAAATCGAAAAAACAACACCTTCCTGAAATCTTTTCTTAGCTGGAGTGAGTTGAAAACTGTCTTCCATCCTCACACTGCTGTAGCTCGTGCCCTGTGATTTACACTTTCAGCTTTCAGTGGGCTCCTCTGATATTCTCTATGGGAGGAGCCCTTCTCATTCAAGACAGAGCTTCTACTTTTCTGCATGCATCCTTTTTAGAAGCTATATATCCAGTAAGAATATTGGAGGAGGATGCTTTAGCTCCATCATTTAAATAAGCCTAACATTGCTTTTGTTGCCTTTAAATTTTGCTGAATAAAATCATAAGAGTTCTGTGAACTTCTTCATGAGATAAAGTAAAATAAGTGCTTAATGCTTAATAAATTTTAAATATTCAATGCTGTTCAGGGTCATTGAGTCCTTGGTTTATGCCAAACCTGGGACATGTCAGTGACAGTTTTCAAGAATTTGGAAAGTATCTTTGCCACAGAGTGGGAGACTGTAAGGTTTATTCTACAAACAAACTTAAAGAGCTAAGTTTTGTTTACTTTTCTTACACTAAAACATGACTTTTCTATTGAAATGGTTGTGTGTTGTTATTCCTTCATGGAAAGCCTCACGTTTTTAAGCACCTTTAACTCACACAGCAGAATTCACAAGATGGCTACAGTGTACCCTTGAGTTACAACTGGCCCAACATGCAAGCAACTTGGATTATGATCTAAATTTTAGTTTTAACTTAAGACCAAAGTCTTTAGCTATGACCCAAATGCCAAACACTTGTGCTTCCAAATGGTCTCAGATACAGATTTAACTCATAGGAAGTTCTGGAAAGAACATTAAAGAGCATCTTTTCCTTTGTGGGGTTAACTGAGAAATCCTGGACAAGTGTCTCTCTAAGGACAATGAGCTCTGCCTGGAAGAAAGTGTGGCCTAAAGTTATATGGGAGAGAGGTTTGGAAAGCAATTGACAAATCTGAATTACAACCAGCCCTCAAGAACAAATTGAGTTCCTAAGTCAAGGGTCCACACTATCAGTCAGTTGGAGAACATGTTTATGCAGAGCTTTACATAGGTGTGTCATCTACACAAGAGGCCTGCTGAAGACTCAGGAGATTCAAATTTCCTCTCCTCGGGCTTTAGCTCTGATCAAGAGACTGCAACCTTTGTAACTGCAATAAGCTTTCCTCCTACCAAAAGCCATTTGAGAAGTTTGCCTGTTACTAGTTAGAATTTTCTCTATTAAATGGATAAACGCCTAGCTTTTTAGGAATGGCTGCCCTTTTCTAAATTCTAAGGAATTACTTAAATATGATTACAGATCACAGGAAAATAAAGGATGCTGCTAAATAGGAGAAAAAGTTTAGTGCTTTGCTTTTACTACAATTTTAACATGTGTTTTAAATTTCTACTTTTAAAAAACAGTGAAATCCAAATTATACATTCCATTTTGTGGTTTTCAAACATCCAGAATAAAAAAATTGTAAATTCTAGAAGTTAGTAAAATTGTTATGAATTCTTCATATTTTCAAAAAGATATAAGTGCATTGCATACTGAGCTCATAATTCTTCTTTGTGTTTTGTAAAAGATTTTCCTCCTGGGTCAATCAGTGTCCGTATCTACTGTGATGGAATTCTGACAGCCACAGCAGAGATGAAATACTCCTCGCCAGCCGTGGTGGCAGAAGGTCCACCTAGAGCGACAGACCCAGGAGGGGCTTTGTGCTGGGTACGTGCATGGATCTCTCCATGACATTAATCATAGTGTGAGCTCACACAGGGCAGGAGGATTCTCACTTTGGTGTGAAGTTTGGATGTGCATTGAATAAAAATAAACCATTAATCAGGAGGAATGGGTGGAGCCCACCTTGGTGCAGGGATGCAGGCTAATGAATTTCCCAGGTTCAGCCATTCCAGGTAATGACAGCAGGAGAGAGCTGCCTATTACAACATGGCCATTGTGCTGAGCTTATTCTAACACTGACACATAATATAAAGAAAGGTTCTGGCATGGTGGTGCACACTTGTAACCCCAGCTACCATGGAGGTTGAGGCAGGATATGTTAGTTACTTCTCTGTCGTTGCTGAGACAAAAATACCTGACACCCAAAGTTAAAAGGGAAATGGTTTATTTGGCTCACCATCTGTAGAGGTTTTAGTTCATAAACCGCTGGCTCCAAGACAGAGAGTCACACGACAAAGGGTCATCACAAAGGAGAAGCAGTTCACAATGCCCACACCATAGCAAAACCAACAAGGGAATTTTAGCAGAGTCTTTCTGCCCCTTTTATATTATCCAGACTACTGGGATTAGAGCAGCGCCAAACCAATCAGTGGACTGTTTTAGCGATCATACGGCCTTAATCCCAGCATCACACCCTCTAGATTCAGCCACCTCTGAGAAAACCATCTATGGCCATATGAGGCTTTAGGGGGACAAACCATAACACAAGAGGATCCCAAGTTCCAGGCCAGCCTGGGCAACTTAGCAAGATTATGTCTCAAAATAAAAAGTAAAAACTGATGGGGATGTGCCTCAGTGACAGTGTGCCCTGGGTTAGATTGATCTCCAGTATCACAAAAAGGAAAACAGGCAGGAATAGAAAGGAAAAGGAAAAGGCAAGGCAAGGAATCCATCCCGCACAGGTTGTGGAATGGTACAATTATGTCTTGCAGAAACTTAAGCCATTAGCTTCACTTCCGCATTTTATTTTATATTTTATGACTTGACCGAATTTAAAAGGAAGCTTGCTTAATGTGGAAATTTCGCCTTTATTCCATCAAGTTTTCAGAGTGAAATAAATGACGTTCCTTTCTACTAATGCTTGGTAATGAGAATTATAATTTTCCCTAATGGCCTCATTGAGAGAGAGCAGGAAAGACAGAAGATGTGAAGAAAGACATAGTTGGGTTGAACAATGTGATCTTCAAATTTAGCATAAAATAACCTAGAAGATGGGTAACTAAGCTGTCAATGGGAGTGTGGTGAACAGGTTTATGTGAACCCTTCTGTGCTTCAACTAATTCAGAACTGAAGACTTTCTGACTTAGTGTGATACATGTTTTTCTGTTGGAGTTCTCTTTTATGAGTGACATATTTAATTTATTTTTTATGAGCGACATATTTTAGAATAAGGGAAAAGGTAAAAGATGACAGAAAGGCAGAGAGTGAAATGCCATTTGTCAAACTGGAGTCTGAGGACATTTGACAAAAATGTCTCCATTGTAATTGCAAAGCAAGTACAAAAGTAAAAGCTTGAAATACGGGTGGTTTCATTGTCTTCTGACACGTCTGCCTTGTCTTCCACTTGACAGTTCTGTGTGTACAGGAAGATGGGTAGAGGGGATAGCATGGCGTTATCAGGATTCAGACAGCAGAGAATGAGCCCCAAGTGCACTTTGCTGTTGGCTTTTCTGTCGGAGGAAAGCTTTGTACATAGTGAGCATTAAATGTGATTTATGACTCCTAGGCAATTTTTCAGAAAGCAATAAAATGCAAGTCATGATGTCCTCTGGAACCAAAAGTGAGCACAAACTTTTTGCAGTTTTTAGATACCTAGAAAAGGCTCTGTTCTTTTTTCACCCAGGGCATCAGAGATGAGGGTGAGAGAGGCTGGGCTGCACTCAGGATTCATCCCCCACCTGGCTCAGAGAAGGGAGGAGTGGGGGGCAGCCAGAAAGGAGCCCCTGCCTGCTGGAGCTCTGAGTCTCAGCGGAGAGGATTCCTCCAACGCAGACGCAGCCGGCCTTGGCGGAAACAAGGACTGAGAGTGCCGGTTAAATGGCTAGAGACAGGTCCGGGGTCTTGCTGCTGAGGCCAGGGGACTCAGGTGTGGGAGGGACCAGAGCAAGCGCCCTGAGGTGCTGCCCCCAGCCCGGCCATCACCCCATCTTCCCATCATCCAGGAAGGGCAGCCTTGATCTGCACGAGTGTGACCTGGGCTCACCTCAGCCCGCCGCGGCCCATACAGCTTACCTGTGAGCTCCCTGACCTGGGCTCACCTCAGCCCTGGGTGCCCGCCCTGCAGCACACTTCCCCTGGTGGGCTTTCCTTTCGGCCTTCAGCCTTGCTCTAACATGGATTATGTGTAAAGATGCTTGCTTAAAAAACAAAAGAGCAGCATTCTTGCTTCTCAGTATAATGTGTTATTGTTCCTTTCTTGTGAGGTCTGTCACGAAATTGTGAAACTCAGGTACTTTCCAAATGGCCTACCGAACATTTTTATTCTAAACTCAGTGTACTGTAATTACATTTACCACAGTTTCTGTGTGTTTGTATGAACAGGTACTAGCAGATTTGAATTTTTTCAGCATGCTCCCTGCTCAGCAGAAGTGATATTTTGTGAAAACCATCTTGAGTTTTCCAGGAGATTTTAAAAGCAGATGTGATTTCAAGATCCAATAATTAGCAACAAGGTCCTTCCCATAGTCATTTAAAATCTATTGGGCATATGGCAATGTGAAAATTGTTTGAATTAAGGAAATAATTAATAATGAGAAATCTGTAGGTTTTACTCCTCCGTATTCTTAGAGTTTATGATAAGATACTTTCTATTCAGTGAATCTGAAAACAGAAATGAGATGGACAATGACGTCCGCAGGGTCTAGGACATTGTATCTCAACGACCTTTTTTAAACTGCTTCCTAAACCATTTCATCTTATTTTTAATAAATACTAAATTCCAGCCAAGTGTGGTGGCTCACACCTGCAACCCCAGCACTTGAAAGGCTGGGGCAGGAGGATCTCTGAGCAATCGAGGCCACCCCGGGCTACATAGAGAGTTCAAGACCAGCCTGACGTGTAAAGTGAGACCCTGTCTCAAAAAACCAAAATAAAATTAAGAATTGAAAAACTAAATTCCATCACATAGTTACATAGCAGCATAATTTATAGAGCTTCACTTAAATTAGAGAATATAAGAGAGATTGAAATGACCCTCCCTCCCAAAAAAGGCCAATTAGGGCAATAATTAGGACTCAAATACTAGGGTTAGAAGTACTAGTGATTCCTGTTTAGCTGAAATAATTAAAACCTTTGAGACCTTCACCCTTCTTATGAAAGTATCTAGGGGCAACAATGAAGCTAACTTTGTATAGGGACAACTACAAAAATTTAAAACAAACAGATCAAAATGTTAAAAGAAATTGCAATTATTAATCAAAATATTAGGATCCTAGTCATTAAAACTTTTGAGATCTATGAAACTCTTCTTCTTAATAATATTCTTATTAACAAAGAGGGATCTTTGTGTTGTATGCATTTATCATGGTATATATTTTACTTTTTATATTCTGAAATATTATTTTCATCTTCATGTTGGGTATAGTTAATTTCTGTTTTATCAGTTTTTATTTTTATTACCAAATGTGCTAATAAAATATTAGCAGTACATAATGACTGCGTGAGCAGGTGTGTTGGTACATCTATATAACATACCTTAATTTAAGTCCCCTTCCCTCCCTCTCCCTCCAGCTCTTGGTCCCCTTCCCCTTTAAAAAAGATGTATCTCTCCATTTCCTATTATTTGTCTTCTATTTTGCCCTTTAATTCATTTATACCTTAGCTTTTTCAAATATATTTAAGCTTGTGCATATGATTTATCAACATCATGGTCTCAAGGTGCACCAATTTTCCCACAAGTGACTCAAGTTTTTCCCTAATGACAGAGGAATACTCTGTTGTATTAATTTTATTATTCCATCTTTGATCTGCTGCCTGCAGATCCTGAGTAAAGCTGGGGTGGGAGGGGTGGGAGATCCCAGTATGGAGATCTGTGCTGCTTTTGTTAGTTCTTCCTTCGGAGGTTTTTAGCCTCACTGAGTTAAATCTCAGCTTTTGGCAGTTGTCTGCCTTAAAGAATCCATCAGGAAATCTGTCTCAATGGGACACATTGGGAACCTCAGTAAGTTTCCTCTAGGCCACTGTCTCCCTCCAAGGACTGAAGGAATCTTCCTCCTTCCCTCAGCTCCCATTTGATGAGGGACACAAACAAGTCCAGAAGACGTAGCACCAGCATCCTCTCACACACTTCTGTGATGCACACTTTCCAGCATTCACAGGACAGGAAGGCTCACACTCACTCGCGTGCACACAGGCCACAGGGTCCCAACCACAATCAGCTCCAGCCAGAGCACCGCCTGTGTGCCTTCTCGACACTGACTCCCATGTTCTCTAGATCCCTGTGTTCCGCTGTGTTCTCTCCCCCACACTCCCACATCCCTTCTCTAAGGCGTAGGCACAACGATCCCTTTCCCACTGTTGGTTCCTGGTACATGGTGCACAGCTAGTATTTATTCCTCCAGCAAGAGGAAAGTACCTGATGATTTCTTTATTCTCTAGTGTTATTTGAATAAATATGTGAGAAATTACACAATAAGCACAAGAGACAGAAAAATAAAACTGCCCTTTTCAAGCACAGGGTTATTTGCAAAACTGTAGAAAAGGTACGCAAATGAGACAGGAAGAGAAATAAAATTGCCCTCTTTAAGTACTTTATTTATGAAATCAAATGGATGAATCTGAAACCAATAGAAGAGTTGAATTCTCAGAAGTGCATCATACTACAAAAATGAAGAGCTGTCAGCTTTTCTCCACGTTCTGCCCCAGCCATGACCTCTGTTTCCACACACTGTCACTAACTCCCACATAGATACCTTTGCCTTTCACCCAAACACCAAGGAGGGATCTGCTGTTCAAAAGCGGCTCTCTTTTCGAAGGCTTCTGTGTCT